TTTTTGAGCTTTTGGAATTTGAAGTTGTGTTTGGACATGCATTTTACTTGGAAAAAAATTGAAATTTGTGAGGGTAAGTCCCAAACCCGCCAAAACTGGTCTGAGCCAATTCTTGGGAACTTGAAAATATTGAAGCTCAGAGTTTGATCAAATTTCATGGCCAAACTGATATTTGAAGATAACATTACAAAAATTACTCTCAAAATCTATGGTGGTAGCTTTCCAAGTTTGTGAAACGCATCCCATTAAGACAACCAGCCAGTTAAAACCGAATCAGTTTGTAAAAAGTTTTGCTAAGACAACAGTTTCTTTCTTTTGATAGATTAGATTTGGGACTAGAGAATGGAATAAACCGGCTCTTAACTGTAACTATTAGGGAGTGTCTCTATAATATTTCTTTTCTCATACATTTACTGATAAGCCTTGTCGACCTTGACTTCTGTATCAGGCTGATGTATGCCATGCATATCAGCTATTGAGAAAAGGTGGTCTCAAAGATGAAAATATTATTGTCTTCATGTATGATGACATTGCTCACCATGAAGAGAACCCAAGACCAGGAGTTATCATTAATAGTCCTGCTGGTGAGGATGTTTACGAAGGAGTTCCTAAGGTTGGTGTTTTTCATCATCATTTAGTATATGCCTAAACTATACTCCTGTCTCATGTGCTATATCTCGAGGCAGGATTACACGGGAGATGATGTTAATGTGCACAACTTTTTAACTGTTCTCCTTGGTAACAAAACTGCACTTACTGGAGGTAGCGGAAAGGTGGTGAATAGTGGTCCAAATGATCATATTTTCATATTCTATAGTGATCATGGTGGCCCTGGGGTGCTTGGTAAGTAGCTTATGTATGCCTCTTTTGGTTGTTGCTTTGCTTTTTATATCTTGCGCTTTTATCCTAATTTCGTCATGAAATTTTTGAAGGCTTGCATCTGAGTCTGCACCTCGAGAATGTCATGTGTATTGAATATTATTGACCATTATCTCACTGCTTTCTACTGTTTGAGAAATAGATGATACCTATTCATTCTGTTTCTAGTTAGGCAAGCAAATAATCTTTATTTACTATTATCTCTGGTTCTCTTATCTGCTGAATCTGCTTATACCTTTGAACATTCTGTTTGTTTTTGAGTTCAGCCTGCCAATTAGTTCACCAATAGAAATTATGGTAATGGTCCCCTAATCCAACTTCTCCCCAATCCCAAACTAAAAAAAATGTCTGGGGAAAAATCTCTAAGAAAAACAAAAAGAACACTTTATACTCATGGATCCAATATCACAGCTTAACCTTTCCTCTTTCATCCTAATTGACAATCACATGTCTGATTTTTTGTAATATAGATATCTATGGTGAATATGTCGCCAGAGAAGGACTCAACATATTCTCTTTCTTATCTCTTTGTAGTATCTGTTCATGAACCACTTTCACATTCAGTCATCAAGCTTTGAATTGAGCACCTATGTCTGTAGTTCTATGTTGTGTGGATCAATAAGAAAGTGGTATTTTCTTGGAAGTGAATTTTAACAGATACTCCCTTCATTCCACTTTGGCATGATATTCTTATTAGCCAGTTCCAAACAGAATGACACATTTCAATATTTACTTGATGAGAAGCTTTTATAGCCACAAGAAGGCTATGACATGTTTAAGACCACAGGTTTCATAAGTTTTGTAGCCTCAAAAACGTTTAAGGAACTTTTAGGACCACTAGAATGTCCTCCTTTTAATTCTGCATGTTTGCTGTCAGTCAATTATATTTTCATAAACTTGGTTTATTGAATTATAGGTTGGATAAATTATATCACTGCTATGTTTACATATCTGCTATACTGTCATGTGTACTAGGGATGCCTACCAATCCTTATCTATATGCAAATGATCTGATTGCTGTGTTGAAAAAGAAGCATGCCGCTGGGACATATAAAAGCTTGGTGAGCTGTTATATTCAATTGTCTTTTAAATATTTGTGAAGCTACTTTCGTATTTTCTCTTATTTTTTAATTGTTTCTTCTTTTACTTACTATTTCCAGGTATTGTACATTGAAGCTTGTGAGTCTGGAAGTATATTTGAAGGACTTCTTCCTAAGGGTCTAAATATTTATGCCACAACAGCTTCAAATGCTGAAGAGAGCAGCTGGGGAACCTATTGTCCCGGAGAATATCCTAGTCCTCCCCCTGAATATGAGACCTGTCTGGGTGATTTGTATGCTGTTTCCTGGATGGAGGACAGGTACCTGCAGCTTCTGAACTTTGCTGGATGATTTTGAGTTTTACTTGTTTTGTTGTTAAATGACTATGAAGTGTGTTCTTGTCCTTTTTTCTCTGGCTTTGCCTGAAATTCTTGAGATCTCTTGATTTATTATTTTCTCAATCTTAGAGGCAGAATTATTCTTATATTCCATGCGGAAGAATGTGTCAATTGGAAACAAAATTGCATGCATGTGACTTGCCAATGCAAGGAGGGACTTGTTATATGTGGATTTCTGTTTCCGTTACATGTCCTTTTCAAATTTGGATTTTACACTATGATCTGGATTTTATGTTTAAAGAATTATGGTTCTGCTTATAAATGATCACAGTAGTCCTATACGTTGTTGCTGAACCATTTTGTGTTTCTATTTCTGTGCAGTGAAATGCACAATTTGCGGACTGAAAATTTGAGGCAGCAGTATCACCTGGTAAGTACTTTTGGACATTGAGAATTAGGTCATCTAGCTGATGTGGTAGTTTAGAAAGTAAAAATAATAACAAAATAAGGAATTTAGAATGCTGAAGCAAATGTATTGGTGTTGTTAAAAGAGAAAAGAACAAAGGGATTTCACAAGTACCGATCCAATGATATAGTTTCTCTCTATCCTTTATTATGATGACATTTTAATTATTTTGTCTATTTGCATCTCTACTGCTGTTTTTTTGCAGGTCAAAAAGAGAACTGCTAATGGAAATACTGCCTATGGTTCCCATGTCATGCAATTTGGTGATCTACAACTGAGTATGGAGTCTCTATTCAGGTTTATGGGTACAAATCCTGCAAATGATAACTACACTTATGTAGATGACAACTCCTTGTGGGCATCATCAAAGGCTGTCAACCAGCGTGATGCAGATCTTTTACATTTCTGGGACAAGGTATGCCCCAACAAACGCCCTCTTAGTGTTCTGGTAGAACTCAGAGATTCCTGAGTTTGAGGAAAATGAGTTTGCACTAAACATAAGAAGCAAAAATATCAAATACTACATAACAAACCAGCAGGAAATAAAGCTGTTGAATCTTAAAGCACATTTTAGTTAACAGCATGTCCTCTTTAAAAAATATCTTTGCACCATGTTGCCATCATGGATGGTTTCATAACCATATAATTAATGTGGTATAGCTGGTTTCCAAAAAGACACTAGCATTACATTTATGAATGATAGTGATGCTAAACAGGCGGGAAACTTAGTGGTGTTCCAAGGTTGTGCTAAGCTGCAAGAGTTATTTTTAGCAAGTCACACGTTGTAATTTGTGGGTCCTTATGTGTTTATGTATTAATTGGCATTTGGCTGCATTATTGAAAATTGGTGCCCAATTCGGTTGCTTATGATGTCATAACGAGCTGAGTGGCCATTGTGCCTCTGATGTGAAATGCTTTCTTGCTGACTTCCTATTCTTCCTCAATGCTGGCAGTTCCGCAAGGCTCCTGAAGGCTCTGCTCGGAAAGTTGAAGCTCAGAAACAATTCACTGAAGCTATGTCACACAGAATGCACCTAGATGAGCGCATTGCCCTTGTTGGTAAGCTTCTGTTTGGAATTCAAAAAGGTCCTGAGGTGCTGAAGCATGTTCGATCTGCTGGTCAGCCTCTTGTTGATGATTGGGCCTGCCTTAAATCTTTTGTAAGCACAAAAAAAAACTGCAATCTCATATAACTCTTAATTGTTTGAGATTTGGTTCATCATCGTAGTTTGACTGAATGCATGGAACACAATTATCTTTTTGCGACTTTTGTGCCTTGGAAATCAAACTAATCTATCATATCTACAGGTAAGAACATTTGAGTCACACTGTGGATCGTTATCCCAATATGGAATGAAACACATGCGTTCCATTGCCAATATCTGTAATGCTGGAGTTCAGATGGAGCAGATGGTGGAGGCATCAGTACAAGCTTGTCCTAGCATCCCCTCCAATACTTGGAGTTCCCTCCACAGGGGCTTTAGTGCGTAAACGCCATGGAATGTGCAGTTTCTCACTTTGATGCTGGTAATAATAATAGTTGCTGTTATCAGTGTCATTTCGTGTCTTATTTGCAAATTGCAATTTGATCCTGGTATTATTGAAGTCTACCATTATTGGTAATCAGAATTAATGTATTGTTTGTAAATTGGTGCTCTGTAAATACAGCTGAAAAAGCACCACTTATGGTCTTGATTATATTTGAAAGCACATTTCTCATTGCAAGTAAATGGCAAGTCCTCCATAATATGGGATTTTTCCCTCGAATAAATTAAAGGGAACCCATTGATGAATGGAAATCTTAACGATAGGAGGGAGAGTTACACCAGTGTGCAGATTCTTTGCAATTTCATTAATCATAGTCATATCCCATAAACAAAGCATCCTACGTTAGCAGTTGTCATGACTTGAATCTGTGACCTATAAGTCACATGAGACAACTTTACCATTACCATTGCTTCTAAGCTCCCATTGTCACAATGATGAGATATGCCAAAAATAATAGGCATACTAGATGTATCATAATTCATATGTAAGAATGTCACCAAGGCACGTTATTTGGACAACCATTATCTATTACACGTGTCCAATTTTCTACAATTATTTACCTTAGATGCTTGAACTTCAACCATATGAAACTTCAAACACCACGTGTGTGAAGTTGTTCCGAAGAGTATCTTAAAGAAAACAAGAACAACGTCTTCATTCAGACACAAAAAATTGGAAATTACTCACGTAACTAAAAACAAGATTACTTCTATATAGTAAAAGAAAGGATTAAAGGCCTTGAAACAACAGTAGATCAGATGATTTTGCAATGGAAAAAAGAAGAGAGCTCATCAACACTGATCCGTTTGTATTCTTAGACTGACTTAAGACTTCACAACAAAATGATTACTATACAGGAAAGCAGTGGAGTTGGAAAGGAAGAGGGGTGGGGTGGGGGTAGGGGGTGACATACTGACCAGATTACCTACCCACATTAGTTTCCGTCTCCATAGAACACTAAAACAAGAAGGATTAGAAACAGTACAACTATAGAGAGTTGGTTTGATTAGTCAACTGCTTATGATATCATTGGCTAGAGACAACAACAGCATTTTCATCAGTTGGTGCCGAGTCAGAGGACTTCTTTGTAAGGGACTTGGGAATGTCAAGGTCATCTTGCACGCAACGTTGCTGAGGGTGGGAAAGAAGTGTACACATGTGACGGAATAGGACACGAGTAAGCCCCTGACCACTCTCAAATATGTAACCCTCGTATTCACTGACATGTTCCAGGGCCTCGACAAGGGCATCATACACCTTTTGAGGGCAATTGTCTGGTCCAGGCTTGTCATGAAGGTAAACTACGTCCAAAGTGAAGAGCTTTTGGGTAGCAGGCCATTGATGCTGTGGTGGTATAGATGACCTACAATATAGAAGTACCTGCATAATAAAGAGAATACATGTTAATTAACACTTCCTAGCAACCAATTGTACAGAGAGAGAATAAATTTGCAAGCATTAGATGTTTATGAAAATGTATCGAATAATCATTTGCATAATATTGGCCTAGGATTCACTTAAATGAGCAAACATGGTCAGTGAGGATTCATATTGCGGACCTTCAACTTGTTTGGGGCTGAGCTGTAGTTGTAATCATTCAGAAGAGAGCATCTGGTGAGAAATGAGAATGGTTCAAACTCATAAAAATTACCAGAGAATAACTGAATTTCATGAAGGTAAAAACCCATTTTAGATCCCACAAGACACTGAAAGATAAAAACCCTGATAGAGGAAAAGACAGATCTTCTAGGCACTCTCAGAATCTCACATTCAAAAGATTTACTTAGCTTCTATGTGGCTATATTTTGAGGTAATTTCAAACCTTTTGCCACTGATTGATGCAGTACTTTTAAATGTTGCTATTGTAACAGACTTATTACTACCTACACGTGGCATGGTACCGTAGACATGAAAGAATAAAGGGCCTGCACACACAACTCAAATGTAATTTTAAAACACAAAAGCAGTAAGCATTGTTCAAATAATCAAAAAGAAAAACTTCTGATTTGACACTGTCGTAGTTGGAGGTTTCCTGTATAAACTAGAACTTCTCAGTCAATAAAACTAATTGATAGTTGAAGGAGGTGACAGCTGGTGATTATGCTTGCAATATGACCTTGATACAAGTAAAGACCTTTTTAGTTTTCAGAAGGAAGTAGAAGATGATACTTTTATGCATATAGACACCTGAATCTACTCTCGGTCGCATCCTTCATTTGCCTTGACAAACACCATATGTTATCCTTATCAGATATACCTCACGTCCAACTTAACATCAATCCAAACTGGTGTGATCTTTCTCAGATTCGTATGATTTCAAGAAGTTTATCTTCCCTTCTTCAGTAGCTTTTCTGCATCTGTTCCTCGTGCTAAACAACTACCTAAAACCCACTATTAGATCTCATTCTTTTTCATCTTAATATCTTTTCACTATAGGAGTTGTTTCTCTACGTGTTGGCAGCCCATGACCCAGTCTAGATATAGCTAATGCCACCTGGAAGCTATTTAAATTTTTTCTAGTCAACCTTAATACTAGAGACTAGTATCCTGCTTTAGGTCGCCTTAAATAAGGTATTTTCCCTGGAGTGGAGAGACCAACCTCTTGGGCTTTAAAGTGTTTTAGTGCAAGAATTAACACATGGAAAAGCAATATGTTTGTAAACTTAAAGTCAGCAAGTTTTCCTAAATGAAAATCTCGTTTAAGGTGGCTATGAGATTGCAAACAAACAAAACACATCTTTTATTTTTACATATACATAAGCACCCCCACTAATATCATGATAGTTAATTTCACTGCTACTGAATCAAGGACTGATAATGAATAAGATGAATGACTAAACAAAGAAGATAAATCCCTTAATTTGGTAATCTAGGCAAATTTAGCCCGACTAAATCAACTAGAGAAGAAGTTTCTTTCCAACAATAGCATGTATAAGTGGCATGAAATAAAGCAAATAAAGGAAAGAAGAAAACTACATATTTAATTGTAAAATGCAAGTATATCAAGTAGTTGATCTCCTTTCGTCCTTCAGTTGGATCTACTAGCTTTTCTGAGAACAAACTAAGGATTATGCTGAGAAACTATCTTTTCATTTTATTCAGCAAAGAACCCAAAATACGTTACCAAAATTAGAATTATTTTCCCCATTCTCACATTGGTGCTAGGATATTTGGTCTAGCTGTGTTCTTAATATCTTGTTTGCTAAGATGAAAGTGCATCAAGAGTAGTCACTCATATGGTGCTTGTTCTCTGCAACATTCAACCTCAGAAACCGAAGACTCAATATTGGTTGAGACACACAAAATCAAAGTTGTATTTCACTTAACAACTCAGATACCATTACTTATTGTTACAGCACTATCAACCACATGATGAAGCAAAACCATTTTTTTTTTGAGTAGTCGTGCTCAGATTAATAGCTAAGAGATAATTCTAGAAATAGAACACATCTGCTCATTACATTGCACCAAAACTGAGTAGCTGATTTACCATGAGTCATTCATATGCAAAATAGCTTCTATAATTTTCTTAGCAAACCAAATGTTAACCTTCTCAATATAAAAAGTTCAGCACCAGATGTCCTAAAGTCAAATGAAAAGACACATTGCTAATCACATCCTTACCACCCTGAGTATCCGATTTTGTGCACGTGTCTTTTTTGCTTCATGAGCTGCCACTCGAAATAGTTGAGTAAGGTCTGCATGGCCACAAGGTGAATCTACTGCAATACCCCGGCATGCAGAAACTACTGAGTCAATGTCACTAGTAAACTCTTTCCGAACCTTCATCAATAGAAATTTGAGAAGACAAGTCAATTACAATACTCTACGTCCACCTATCTTCCACCAGTAAATTGGAACAGGAAGATATAGATTTGATAAGATAACTTAAGCAGGACATAAAAGTTTCAAAGAACTTATACTACAATAAGAACATATTTATATAGAAGAGCAGCTCTTGGAAGTCATCAATAAAAGCAGCATAAGTTTATGTTTGAAATCATTCATCAAACAGGAATACATCATAATAGCGAAGGGGGAAAGTGCGAAGAAAATGCATCAAAGTTAAGGAGATATTCTAAACCACTCATACACTTTTACAAACTCCGTCAAACCAATTTCATGCTAAGAAGCAGGATTCTACATCTTAAAAAGCAAGTATTCCTACCAGTGACAACAAATTGTTTCATGCTTGCAATGATTAAGTTTGACAAGTTGTATGATAGCAATAGAATAGTGATGAAAGTAACGTGTTGAAACAGTATCTGAAGTATCCCCATCACTAACTACATCGAATTTCTTTAATAACTCTAGGAAGACTACTCCATTACAAGCTTAAGAGTGTGGCCACAGAAAATACTTTAGAAGACTAATGCACCATCTAAAGTTGCATGATTTGGATGGCTAACAACTCATGAAGCATTTCTAACTCAAGAGGTATGACAGAGAAGGGGATACACCTTCAATACTCGATGATAATGGGGCCGTCCCTCTACCCTTCTCCACTTAAATACTAGACTTAGTTTGCATGATATTAGCAAGAACTATTTTTTTTATACACATATCAGAATGCCTCATGTAGTAAGCATTTGAAGAAAAAAAAAGGTATCATAACTGCCTCATATTATACCAGAACTAAGAAAAACGTCTGCCTAATTATGCAACCGAAAAAACTAATAATCCTTCCTTTCCAGTTTGTCTGCCTTCCTTTCCTTTTTAATCCGTTTTAGAAAAGAATATTTCTTTTCTTATTTGACAACTCTTTAATTTCAATTGACATGTCTAAAACCACAAGATTAGAGGATATTTTGATACATTACATGTCAAACCACAAGATTTAAAAGTATATTTTACTTTCTTAAACTATGAATCAAGTCAAAATCCTACAAACAAATTGAAATGAGAGTGGCTATTATCACATTATGGGAAGGATAGCAAAATCACTTATTCCACAATTGCATATCTGAAATTCTACATATATTATGAGTATTACCCAATTCAAACTTCAATCAGCTTGAAGAAATTGCAGTAAACATATTACCCAAGAAGCGGATTTGCCAAGAGTAGCAAAAGCAAAACGGTGATCTGGATTAATAGTGAGCTTGGCATTGACGAATAGAAGGATTGCCTGCTTAATTGAGTCCAACCTGGTGTACGGTCTACCGCCGGCAGCCGCAACCTTCATTTCAACAAGTGATTCGTTGTCCACATCTACACAGAACAGTATGTCTTCGCTTGCTAATCGAGTTGGTTGTAGAGTGTAACGACTCGCCGCCGGTGGCCCTGAACCTTGTCCTTCTAGTCCCTCCATTTTTTCCGATCAGTCACTTTCTCTCTCTAGCTCCCCTCTTTTCAGACAATTCTCCTCTTTTTTCCCCTTTGGGTTTCTCTCTCTTCGAAGGGATTTTGTGTTTTTTACTTTTCCGTTTTAGCCCCTTTTTGTTGTAAAAATTGCATGACTTAGAAATAGTGAATATTCCTATACTATATCTCGAGGAATAGAGGAGGCTAAGTTAATCGAAAGATGGTTATCGATTCAAAAATACAAGATAATTTTTTTTTTCAAGATAAGAAAAGGTAGAAAACACATTTCGAGCCATGCAAGAGGTTGTAGTAATCCATGTTATTCTTCAGGAAAAACTCAAATTACAAGCAAGATGATATTTGTATCAGAAATCAATATAAATGAGTAAATTAAGAATATCTAGAGGCGTGAGATAATTCTCTCTAATAAACTCAATAAATAAGTTCGTAACTTCGAGAGAAAGGATGTTTTCTCACAAAGGGGATCGCGGTAATCAGATCTAAATGATTGATAATAAAAAACACAAGTCTCCGCAAAATCGTAAGATTGAATATGGGGGTTGACGTGTGCACAATGTTGGAAGGTCAAAAAAGGTAGTGTCCTGATAACTGTGCAACTGATGATTGAAGTTCTATTGAGAGACGATAGTAACTATAACGATTTTAAGATAACGAAGTTCCTTATCGAGTTTTGACCCACAAAAAAATACGTTAACAATCTAAGTACTATCTCGAAGTGAAACTCAGTAAAATAAATATATCTATAAAGATGCAAATTATCTACACCTGCACAACTCTTACTTTAAAATATCATTTTTCTCACTAAATTAAATTTGTCTTTTCTTTCACTCATTTGGATTTATTAAAATGCTTTCAACTCTGAGTTTATATCTAAAATTGTCCCCTTTTTTTTTTTTTTTTTTTAACTCAAGCTATGCGGAAAATATCACATCTTAAATTAAATATGTAAAATTATTTTTATTGATTATCTGTAATTAATCTCAAATCGAGTTTTAAAAGACCCAACATTTTTCTTCTTCTACCAACACAACACTCCTTGCATAGTTTAAAAGTGTAACTAACACAAAAAACAATAATTAAATTCAAAAATAATAAGACCTTCACATAATTTAGATTCGTAACTAATAATTTTTCATAATTCATGTCTTACATCTTATCTCTAATACTCCTTTTATTCTTTTTACTTGCCTACAATAATTAATATTGAAGATTAAACATAAAACAATAAGTTTTTCTTTTCGTATATTAAAAATGACAAATGAAAAAAATAATATAAATTTAATATCGTAGATAAGTAAAAATAGCAATAACAATATCCGCATAACTCTTACCGGCCATCTAGTTATATTAACATAATCCAATATTCAGCGCGCGCTTTCCCATATAAGCTGCAGCTTAGCTAGGGTTTACTTTTTTTTTTCTTCTTCATCTTCTCTATTGTAAGCACTTTATAGTTGATACGAAGCTAGAAAAAACAGAGCAACAAAACAGAACCAGGTAAAAAAACTTATCTGTGAAGCAATATTTTTGATGTTTGAATTATATGTGTTTCTGTACTGTACTGCGTTTCTATTATTCTGCGAAATTTGAAATTTTTTGATTCTAAATTGAGAAATTAGAGTGAATTTTGTATCAAGTTTGAATTTTTTTCTCGTTATGTTTGATGTTCATTTTCTGTTTATTTTAGTTATACAAATTGAGGGAATTGGTCAATGAAGTGAGTTGAGAATTATGGATTTTCAGGTTCAAATCCCAGCATAGTATCAAAACACTAAGTGATTTTATCATATATGTCCAAACCTAGGAGGATAGAGTTCTCCGATACTTGTGTTGTTGGGAAGTAGCAAGTATTCGATATGTGAGGCACACAACACAAGTTTGGCCCGGACACCATAATGGGTGGAGTGAGGGGTTCATCAAACCTACTTCAGTATAAAATTGTTTTGTTTGTATATGGTTAATATTATTTTTATGGATATATAGTAGATGTTGAGCATCCTGCTTCTTCGTGTGTTTACTTTTTCATATTTTAAACTCCTTAATGAAAGTGAAAATGCTTGCTCTGCCATTGGACACCAGGTTTTAAAATAATGAGGAAATTTTGTGTCCTTATGCATTATTCCTTCTTTCTGTTTGATAAAATTAGACGAAGAATGTTTGTATCAGAAGCTCAGTTTTTTGATTTATTATTCATCTTTTTCAAGTACTTAAATATTTTTCCTTAATTAAGTTGAACGGTCTAGAATAAAGTTTTCTTCTTTTCTATGTGAAGGAGTTGGTGGTTTACATAGAGGCTGTATACAGTATTATAAGGTAATATGGAGGCTTGTAGCAGAGCTGCAGTGATGGGTTCTTCTCTTCAGCAACCTGTTTGGGTTAATGGATCAGCTTTTCCTTTAAAGGGTGAAGTGAAACTTAATGGGGTCAAGTTATGGTCTGTTAAGCCTTGCAAAGCCTCTCAACTTGAAGGGAGCTTGGTTTCAGGAAGGCCTCCTTCAGTTTCTGTTCCTATTCCAGAAATGGGAGGTAATTTTTCAAACTTACGTTTTATTCCATGTGTACATACACATAAAAACTATGCAGCAGATTCTTGGTGATAGACTTTTCCGTTTTAGTGTCTTCTTGGCTTTTCTATGTGCTCTAGTTTGTATACTACTACTAGTCTTTGATGTGTTTGGTCTTTTGTATTCTGTGGGTGTGAAATCGTTTTCTGGAGTTATTCTGTCTACATTTTAAAGTTATTTCATAAACCATATTAGTTAATGCACATGTTAGAAGATTATGTAATATAATTGGCTAACTGCTATATATGCTAAAAGCTCTTGAATCATTTTGACTAATGTGTAGTCGATTGGGATTTGGGGGTTTCACTCTTACTTCATGTGTTACCTTCTTGTTGTAGGGTTTGACCATTTTTAATGCTTTGCTCATCGTAGAGTCTTGACAATTATGATCCAACTTAGTGCACCTACAGCCCTCTGGCGTGACTTTTTAAATCACGTAACTCAAGAAATGTGGAACACATTGACATTCCCAGATTTGGGGTTTTGCATTAAGTCCTTGGTAGCCTGCCAATTTACTGCATGGTCTGTGAATGTCCTTTTATTCATATCTACTATTGGTACATGCAAAGCCATCAGCTTGTGATCTTATAATCTTCTTGAAATCAACCAGGGCACTGACATTATTGTTAGAACTCAGAAGTTCTGAAACATTTTATTGTATGTCACTCGTCTTTGTTGACGAAAACGAATGCATTTTTTTTTTATCTTGAAAACGTTCCATGGTTCTCGTACTTGAATAGTATTTCTCTTCCTTCTCTTTCCTATGTAAGGGTTGTGGTAGTCAAGCCACTTCTTGGCACTTTTCATTTCCGCATTCTAGTGGTATGTGATAGTTGAAGTTGATGAATTTGAATTATGCTTGCTAGCTTATTCTGTTGCTCTGTTACTTAAAGCTGTCTGTTGCACTTTCTAGGTGCTGGGAACAACTTTGCAGATTATGGATTGGGTGAAGCTGATCCTGAAGTTCGTGGTATAATTGACAAAGAGAAGGAACGTCAATTTCGGAGTTTAGAGCTTATTGCCTCTGAGAATTTCACATCTCGAGCAGTGATGGAGGCAGTGGGTTCTTGCCTTACAAATAAATACTCCGAAGGACTACCAGGCAAAAGGTAAATTTTATCCCTATGAGAAAAAAATAAGAAAAATGAGCATTTTCACATTAATTTTTCTTTATTATTTATCTTTGTGATTACTTTGTTTGATATGAAATATGAATCTCTTCGTGGTAACAAACTTGTTCTTTTTTTCCTTTTGTGTAGCTTATTTAACAACGTTCTTCCTTTGTTCTTGTAAATGAATTCCCTATATCAGATATTATGGTGGAAACGAGCACATTGATGAGTTAGAAATACTCTGTCAAGAGAGGGCTTTGGCAGCCTTTAACTTAGATGGAAAACAGTGGGGTGTCAATGTTCAACCCCTATCTGGTTCTCCAGCAAATTTTGAAGTCTACACAGCAGTTCTCAATCCACATGACCGAATTATGGTTAGTTGTAAGCAGTCTCTTCCTGTTGGTCTTCTAGATTACATGGATTAATATTTATCTTTAATATTTATCACTCAGGGATTGGACTTGCCTCATGGGGGTCATTTGTCCCATGGATTTATGACTCCTAAAAGACGAGTTTCAGGCACATCTATTTACTTTGAGTCCATGCCTTACCGCCTTGATGAATCTTCAGGTACCGCATGCCTATCTTTGTAGATGCATTAAGCTTTAACTATAATTGTAAACTGATTTTTGTTTCGACTTAACAGGCCTTGTTGATTATGACATGCTTGAGAAAACTGCAACCCTTTTTCGGCCAAAACTTATTATTGCTGGTGCTAGTGCATATCCACGAGATTTTGATTATCCTCGTATGAGAAAGGTACAAAATATTTGGAGTTTGCTAGTTGGAGTTACTGTTTCATACTGATAATTCACCTTGTTGATATCTTATTTTCGGCATCTAATTATTTCTTTTGCTATACGTCCGAAAGATAGCAGATGCTGTTGGAGCCTTTCTCATGATGGATATGGCTCACATCAGTGGGCTTGTTGCCGCCTCTGTAGTTGCTAATCCATTTGAATACTGTGACATTGTTACCACAACAACTCACAAGGTATGATTTAAAATTCTTGAAATATTGTGCATAGCCATTCCAGCTCCTTCTACCCAGCGAAAAATAAAGTTAAAAAGAAAATCACAGAAAAGACAAATGGAGAATGAAATGCAAAAATATTTTTGATGATTTTATTTCCATTGGCCTGATTAAGTTTAATGGCAATGCTTTTGTTCAGTCTCTAAGAGGTCCTAGAGGAGGAATGATCTTCTTCAAGAAAGATCCTGTCCTAGGCGTTGATTTGGAATCTGCCATCAATAATGCTGTTTTTCCTGGCTTGCAGGTCAGTTCCATTTTCTCTCAACACTAATTGTTACTCTACATTTTTTTCTTTTGCTCCCCGGAATGTTAAAACCTATCAATGCCTGGACTATTGGCACTTTAGCTGTATGTTGTATAATGTGGTGAGTTTGTCGAGCAATAGCATGGTTTTTTTTTCACAGG